TTGGGGGGGCAGGTGGGGGATGGGGCCAGCAGGGGTCCTCCCAAGGTCCCCTCCCCCCTCCTAGAGCCCCCCACCCCCTACTTACCAGCATAGAGCCCAGGTCCAGCTCCCTGTGGTTGGTATGCAGCCTATACTGCACAGGCAGGCAGCATGTTTCAGCACCGGGGTGAGGGCCAGCCATAGAGACACCCTGGCTGGCTACCAGAGCATCTCTGTGGAGGACCCAAGCCTCTGGTTGCCTGAGGGCATGGTCCAGGACCCCACTTTTTTTGCCTTGGTTATTTTTTGACCCCTGGATATCCAGGAGTCTAATTTGCAGTGCAGGGAATTTTTTCTTGTTCCTGCATGCGCCTCTTGCAGCATCTCAAAGGGTGAGACACTGCAAGAGGCACGTGCGCACTCGTCTTGATGTGCCCATTAAGTGCAAATGTGATAACGTTGTGTGGCACCCTGTGTTGAAAGGATTGCAAGGCACACCTGGGTGCTGGGGCACATTGTTCTAAAGCCTACTAACTTATTATGAGAGAACCATGATTTCTGTTAAGATTTTCTGTTTAGACACAAGCATAGCCAAAGACATTTAATCAGTTTCAGAATTATTTGAAAACCTTGGTGTAGAAGTTAATTGTAAGTAATTGAGATTTTCTGTTATAACTGATTACAATTTTTGTTTTTTAATATAATTTTAATATACTTCCTTTTTCATACAGTCTAGTGAGCTACAGTATATTTTGTGAATATGAGTAGGATATACAATTGCTCAGAAATAGAAATAAATATTGCCTAAACAAAAAAGAAGGTTGTTGGATATTTGAGTGGTTGATTATGGAGTATGTATCCTTTCTTAGTGGTATAAGTACAAACCTTGACTCAAATTAATTTTGGTCTATAGCAATTATTTAGTAAAGTTTAGTGACTTACATTAAAGTTGGTCTCAGTTTATATAATGAATTGGCACCATTTTTAGTATGTCAAAGCAAAGGTTAAACTTTTAATAAGCATAAATGAACTCCTTAAAAAAAATGATGGAAGTCTGACTTGGAGAATGAAATACATTGCTATAATTTGGTCTTCAAAGTGAATTAAATCAAAAGTACTGTATTTGAAAAGGTTTTATACTTAAAAATATGCAAGTTGTGTTTGGGTAAGATTTTCTATCATTTTTTAAAATGTTGCTGTTTAATATAAATTGTTATGCATTAAAAGAGACTATTTCAACCAATCTTAACATATATTTTTAATTTGCTATGTAATTGTATTTTTGTATCAGGTTGATCACACAAAACAAGTCTCTACCTATCAGGAGGTGATCCGTGGAGAGGGAATATTACCTGATGGTGGAGAATACAAACCACCTTCTGATACCTTGAAAAGCAGAGACTATTACTCGGATTTTCTAATTACACTGGCGGTGCCCTCGGCAATAGCACTGGTGCTTTTCCTAATACTTGCTTATATCATGTGCTGCCGACGGGAAGGAGTGTGAGTACCTTAAGACATTAATAAATAATTGTAGATTTTTCTCAGGTTGTGAGGCATACGAAAACATTCAGTACAAGAATGTCATGTTCATAAAAATATTTTAAAAGCAAACCAGTAGAAATACATGTAAGGTATGCTGTATTGTTTTCATCTAACCATGTATTAAAATTAATGTTAATCTTCAAGAGAATAAATTTAGGGACTATAACTATTCTTTTTTTTTTAAATTTACCATACAAACAGCAATAAAATAAAATGAAAAGTGTCACCCATTTAGCCAAATTATTCAATTTCACTAAAAGCGTTTGTACACTGAACAGTAATTTTAAAGCCATTAGCACTAATGTAAAATAGTGGTTGAGGTGGTGAACTGAATTTAGAGTTGTAAAAACCAAAAGCATAAAAGGAAAGCAGCAAGTAACGTAACTTCTTCCATCTCTTACACAAACTCTGATTTCATTTTGTCATAGAATTTATTTCAGCCAGAAACTTGTTCCTTAACTTACATTTTCATTTCTCTGTGTGTGTGGATATGTGTGTGTACATCTGTCATCCGTATCACATCTCTATATGTGCAGTCATCCAGGCCTTGCCATAAATCCGGTGGCAAATGCTGCCAAGTTGCATTTAGTGGTAACAGTGTCAGCATTTCCACATTATGTTCTGGCCCATCATCTTATAGATTTAATGTTCCAACTATCAATGCTATTATTTAATTCATAAATTTTGTTTTGTTTTTAGGGAAAAGAGAAACATGCAAACACCAGAGTAAGTGTCTTCTTTCCTGTTATTTTTCTTTTAAGATCATTTAATTTTCATTTCTCAATAGCTTGTCATACTTCATACATGTGTCTCATGCCCTTCTTTCATTCTCTTTGATTCATGTTTTAATTCATATATGTGAAAGCTGCTTTAAAAATACAGAGGCTTGGAAAGGATAGCAGGTCAGAATAAAAAGGGCTTGAAATGAATAAATCCAATATAAAATAGTTTATCTAGATTAAAAACATTAACCTGGGATTTATTTTCATGGTTATGTGACTTCCCGATCTACATTTTTAAAATTCAGTGGAAAGTTTAAAAGTATCTTTCATAAAAGATATTTTACGTCTACATTTTTAAATATCTACAGATATTTTATATTGTGCCATAAATTTAAGCTTCTGCAAATATTTATAAAATAACAACAAGAAGCAACAATATAAAGTTACTAAAACTTTTCTTTAGACAGGAGCAAAAAGGAGGAGTATTAACAATAAATTGCATAATCTTAGATACTTTATAAAACATTTCTCTGCTCACCAGAGCCTAATGGAACAATCTGTGCTTTCAAAGTTAGATAAATACAATTCCTATGTTATTCTTGTTATTTCAAATTTCTATTATAAATCACTGTACTTCTAATTTATTTTGTAGCATGCACTAAAAAATTCTATTTTATATATATATATATATATATATATA